AAAAAAAAAGAAGCAAATGCTGTTTTGTCCAATTTGCCTTCTGAAAGTACAGTCAGTAGCCAAACCCCTTTGGGCAGTTGTTTTAGCCAAAACCACAGCATCCTCAAGGTGAAAAAAACCTACATATTGAATTCTAATTCACCACAGCATTTGCAGCAGTAGTAGGACAGCTTTCAGAGCTTACAAGGATTCTGCTGTTTGTCTGTCTGTTGGTTTTTTGCAACTTGACCCAGCCTGTGAAAATAAAGGGACCTGCAGCAAAATGTGTCAGATCATAAAAGTGAGACAGAAACAGGAAGAAGCCAGGAAGAGAAGATCTTCAAAGAATTTATTTTCTCTCCTGCCTTCTGACGTTTGTGCCTCTAACTTAAAGCTCTCAAGCTGTGAGCTTTGAGTTGTTTAGGATTGTAAGGCCTTTTGAAATATTATTACTTACTGTTGATTGTAGTGAATTTGAAAGGTGAAATATATTGGTTTTAAATGACATAAAAATGTAGTTTTTGCAGGATCACTATGGTGATATATTTAAAAGAAACAGTTTAAAATAGTGCAAGGGTTTGGAGAGGTTTTTCACTTCCTTTCTCCTCCATCCCTATCCACTGTTTGCAAGGGTTAGGTTGCTGAATTAGTGACAAAATACTAAAAAACGGGAGATGTACACACTAGTCTCCTAAATTGTAGCCAGCTACTGAAATCTCAGTATGGTAATGATATTTTAAATTATTTACCACTGTAGGGGAAAAAAAAAGAAGAAACCTATTAAAAAAAAGCTTCTACTTTCCCTTGAACTTTTTTCCCTACATATTAGGAAACGAACCCCAGCACGAGTTCTTTATGAAAATGATATTTTAATTAATTTCTTCACGTACAACTTTGTTTCTTTATTGCAACATAAAACTATATTTGGCTCAAAACTTATTATAGTTAAATTCCTGCACGTGGATGGTGTTTTTCAGTACTTGTGCACATGTGAATGTTTCCATACCAAGTTGTAGACAAAACAATGCAAGTGACTTCTAAGAGGAAACTAAAGTGTGGTTGATAGTGACTGATAGCAAAAAAAAAAAACACTACCCCGAGACAAGATTTTTTGTATGCATGTTCAGGTTCTGTTTAATAGTTTCATATTCTTTTAGTCCACAGAAATCAGAATCTGTACATGACAAATGGCGAAATATAGAAGCAGCAGCACCTTCATTGCCCAGTTTTTATGGAGACTTACCAAGCAGTAAGTATATGAAGGAATGGCAATATTAGTTTTTAAGTGTTATTTTTTTGCACACCTCTTTTGCTAAAATGCATAATTTAATTTCAATAATGAAAAAAATACTCTTTAGCTTTGAGCAGTCTAATCTGCAAACAGAGACACTGAATTATTCAGTTTTCTTTTGTGAATATCACCAGCACTATGTAAACAAAATGTTAAATGGAATCAAGGATATTTTTCCTGTCATGGCAAAACATTTAGCTGAGTTTCTAAAGACATTTTCTATCAATCTGAAAACCAACAATGTAATAAGACAAACACTGTTGTCTCCCCCCTCCCCCATGTCCCTCATCACCATTATGAGCCCACCCAATAATATACACAGCCCTCCAAGCAAACTGTTGCCTTAGTAATACAAAAGGCACCTTGGCTGTTCAATAATGCCTTCAGACTTTTGGCTTAGGGCAGAATAAAGTAATCTCTTCACATTAAGGTCCCACAGGCCATTGCTCTCAATCTTGGCTTTGGAAGCCAGTCTGGGTTTGTTTACAGTATGCAACTAACCCAAGAATGTTTAAATAAAAAGCTAAACAGAATATGGACATTTGTCAGTATATATCAGCTGATGAATACAGTGCTCCTCTTATAGACTGAGTCCTGTATAGACTGAAAACAGAAATTCTTTCAGGTCAAATCTTGATCCTCTGCTGTGTAAGTAAGCCATAATATCCCCATCTAAAATCAGTTTTTAGTTACCTGTCCTTCTCTGAGTCTTACATGCACCATAACTGTAGAACTTGTGATGACAGCAGAAATGCCCATTGGAAGAAAGACGGAATATTAGATCAAGTGATGAAATGGAAATGGTGTAAAGATGACTAAAATGTTCATGAGCATAAAAATAGTTTTATTGAGTGGCCTAAAACTTCTAAGGTAATCTAACTCATGTGCCCTATATCTTGGTCCACACAATTGTTCAGATTTGCAAATTAAAATCTTATCTGAGACTTGCAGGTGTCAGACATTTTAGGGACAACCTGTTGTTTACCATCAAGGACGCAATGGACAGCAGGACAGGGAATGCTCAATCTTGATTCTGCTGATATTTCTGGACTTTCTCTATACATTTACATATGTGCAAAGAGATGGGAGTAAAACCTTGATAGAACTTGAGTTTTCAATGCTTTTTTTGCGTATATGGATGTAAAACTGAAGTACTGCAGCAGGGGATGGGGATGGAGGACAGGTGCCATATTGACTGCACTATTCCTGGTCAATGGGGACACTTGGTTGATAACAGACTGTTTTGTGCTTAGACCAGAGTAGCCTCAGGTTGGCTTTTCAGTCAATAAGAACTATAAAAGCTCTTGATGGCATTGCTTGAGTTTTTCCTCACATCCAAGATTTTGGAGAACTTATTCCAACCCACGGGATTTCCCCACATCAGGAACTCAAAGCAAATTCAGTAGGTTGGTACTAAAGAATTTACTTATTAATCAGGGACAAAGGTTTGAAATAATATTGAGCTTTGGAACAAAGTTTCCAATACGACAAAGAAAAAAAAAAAGAAAAAAAAAGAAAAATTAATCCTAGTATGTAAAGAAGTTACATAAAATTCAAATTAAACCATGAGAAGGAAAGACTTACCTTTGTGTGATCGGTTCTGCCTTTCATTTTGTCATGTCTTTTTGTTTCCCTTCTTTATATTTTGTATTATGGTACATGCCATGTCAGCTGTCAGAGACAGAGGCTAAAATATTTGCTTCTGTGCCATCTTTCTGTGAAAATATTAAGTGTTCTGGTTTTCATTTTTCCTCTTTTCTTTTTTATTCTTTTTTTTTTTGATCATACCTGAATGTATCTTTGTAGAAATTCTCATATATTAAATATTGATGTAGTTACATTTGTACAGTCATTTAGTGAGCTGCACACTGCTCCCCTCAGACTATACTAGAGTACCCTATTCACTTTGCAAAATGCAGGTACTTAGGTGCTTTTTTTTTTTTTTGAACTTCAGCCTTTGCTGCAGGAACCCAACATTTCAGCATTGTGCCATCGGGATACTCAGACTTTGGTGTTACTGAAACATTTAGTTGCTCCTTATAATCCAGTTTGCACTTCTCAGTACATTGTATCATATTGGCAACCAGAGATTGTTGCGTGGATTCAAAGGATCGTAAATTGATTGATTTACTCAAATATACACCTGGCAGCAAACACTGCAGTTCAGTGCTGGGATGTCACATTTTTCTCTGTGAGTCCAAGTGAGAAAGAAGTGGACTAAACCAGAGCTGCCAGTTCAAACTGTCCCTTGCTTTGAAAATCTTAAAAATCAAGATGGGTAGTGCTACAACTCACATGCAAATCCCTAAATGTAACATCTTTTTTGACTGTGATCAGAACTGGTGAGCCACTGACTGTGTGACATCTTGACCACATACCAGTGCTGTTACCCTTTAGCAGAAAAGTAAATGAGGCAAATTATGACTGTACAAAATGTCATTGGAAGCATTTTTACATAGACTGTACTACTGTTTTAAAGGTAAAGAAACACGTATTCAGGTAGTTTTAGTATATATATAGCAAAATCCGTAGTTAAGTAGTCCAAAACAGAAAGCATTCTCGATATCTTCAGAAAATTGTGATGAAAGGTTACTCTGTGGGATATCTGTTCTTGGTCTTAAGAAAAAAAATAAATAAATAAACTAAGCTAATTTAGGGTAAGAATGAATGTTCAAACCATAGATTGTCTGAACACGAGGTTTAGGTTAAATACTAGAAAAAGGTTCTTCACCCAACGGGTGGTTGGGCACTGGAACAGGCTCCCCAGAGAAGTGGTCTCACCACCAAGGCTGACAGAGTTCAAGAAGTGGTCACTTTGTGCTTATTGCATCAGACGAAAACATACTCTAAGAAATTATGCTTTTCCAGATCTTTTCCAGTATGTTGCTGAAATAAAATTTAAAAGTGTTATAATATCTTTCTATTTGTGTACTTCTCTATATATTGCCAGTTCATACATTATGTGTGTGTGTTTTTCAGGTAAGACTAGATGTCATTCCCCAGACTTTGGAAGCATTTCATTGCTGAAACTGGTTTGTTGTTGGAGTGAGGAATCTGTAAAGGTAGGAAAGAGCCTGTGTCAGTTGTTGCAATGGAATCCTTACGTAACATTGCTTGTAACTTAGTATTTGGAATCAGTAATGTGACCTAATAGTTATGATTTTTGGTGAAATTATTGCATAAATCATGCCATTCAGATCTGTGGGAAGCAGATTATTATTGCAGTATGAAGTATGTTGCTCGTGGAACTATTTTACTGTAAAGTCCATGTTTACATGTGGCAAAGTAACTGTCCTACTAATTTTTGATGTGTGATCTTGTTCATAGCATGTATTTAAGAAATGAGTTACCTGTTCTCTAATAACCACTTGTAACTTAGATCACAAACGTCCATTTTATGCTCCAGGAAAATAGAAGGTCAAAATAATAGTAGTCATAGACCACTGTGTTGTTATAGAAGAAACAAAATGCCTTCACAAAGGGCAAATAATTAATCCCAAGTCCTTGTTTATTACAACACTCTTTAAGAAGGACATGTAAGTTCTGAGTTTCCAGGACAGATGATGCTCATCCCTATTGTTACTGAAGAATCTGAAGTCTTTGAGAGATAAATAAGCTTCTTGAGAGTTGACAGGTAATAGTAAATCAGTTTGAACAGTGAAACCTAGTGACCATTTTTTGTTTTGGAAATATGCCTTTAAATAAAATAGTGTCATTTATTTGAGAGAGTTAATATCCAGGAATACAAAACACAGGATATTCTACTATGACCACATTGGATTTTATTCCAGAAATTGGAAATACCTGTTACAAATTTATTTTATCATGTTACTTTTGAAATTGAATGCAACCCTGTGCTGCATTTCAAGTGCAAAGAATATTTTCCCAAGCTGAGGCTTGCAGGGGTGCTGCAGTGATAGTCCCCTGTTCTGTTAGATGGAAATGGTTTCTGCAAATATTCACATTCAATTGATTTCAGCATTTCATCTTAAGCTTATCAGTTGTTTATTATATCTCTGCTGTCTGCAGGTCTCCTATAGCAGTTTTGCATTCTTCTTCTCTCCCCTTTCTCTTACAATAAGGTTTTTTTCCTCTTTTTGAAACATTTTTATAAGAAAACCAAATACAAGGAGCTCCATTTCAATAGTTGCAGTTGTCATATGAAATGCATATAATCTCTTGCTGACCTGGTCAGCCACTGAAACTCTTTAGAGAGGAGTCACATATTCATGAAAGTTGTATTTGCAGCATAGCTGATTTTGTGAGATCTAGGTATTTATATTTTCCAGTGTATTTAGCAGCTGATCAGTGTACACAATGATAATGGTCTTATCTACCACAGGAGGTTAGTGTGCAGGAAGATAAAGTGTGGAATAAGCTGCCTCGCAATTTTTTCACCTGAAAAGACTTTAAATTTAAGACACTGAAATTGTGAAGTACTGCAAATACCATCAATGTTTCCCAAATTTTAACATTATCCAGGCACAGCTTTGCAGTTGCTATAAGCTTTGTTACCCTACTTTGTAGTGAATATTTTGGATTGTTTGCAGCCAAACTGCCATAAACCTTTTAACACTCAAAATAATTTGTGATGCTGGCAATAGGTGTGCATATGTAGTGACCAGTGGTTTAAACAAAATTATAGTTTTTGTTGACAATAAAGTGGCTTTGTTGAAACTCCACTTATACAAACACAGATTTATGGCCAATTTATTAATCCTGAGCAACCTGATCAAGGACTTGTGTACATTTGCCAAAAACATCGCTAGTTACCCTGTTTTTAAAACCTTTTTTATTGTGATCTCTGGTGAAGGATACTGACTCAGACATGACCCAAAGGAGTTGCCATTTATTGATTCCTCATCTCCTTACAGTACTGTAACAGATTATGTGCAAACAAGGAAACTGAAAAAACCTGCTGCAAATGTTTGATGAAATTTTACTGACTTGTTAAAGTTGAAGGCTTGAGGGAGGTCTTTGTTTGAAATTTTAAAAATGTGTATTTTTTAAAATATTTTTCTGGTAATTTCTTTTCCCCAGTTATTTTAAAGAAAAGATTGTCTTCATGTGTGTTGCTGATCTTTCAGACAAAATAAAGCTGCTTCTTGCCACACTCCCATCCCACCCAGAAATTACTTAAGTGTGCTCATGTTTTCAGACAGAGATATATATAGATATATATATATAGATATATATATATATATATAAAATAAAGCCTACTGTAAAGCATTTAATATGGGGAAACAGTGGTTGCATTTCTGCCCTTAATTGTCCTTACTCCATAATTAAAACAGCCAGTTCCTTAGATATATCTTGTGATAGGTATTTGGTTATATTTTCATTTTTAAAAAATAATAATACTGTATTATTTAACCTTTTTGACTGAAAGGGTGAACAGTAAAGTAAAACTTTACTGCTTTGGAATTCCTCTAGCGCCATCCTGATGTTGCAGTATTCCTTTTGTATAAGGAAACTTGTTAGTCTTCCCTTGGGAAAATTGCTGATGACATATGTAGATCTCTGAAATAATCATCTGAATGAGGAATGTAGGTGCTTTAATCTTCCTTTTTCACCAGTGGAAAAATATAGGCATTGTGTTGGCACTGCTGAGATTTTAGGAGGAATGAATCATCCTGGGACTTTCTCATCTCTCTTCATTGATTCCTGCAGTGCATCTGTATTTTTTTTTGTTTTACTTCAGTTATTTCACTGCCATTAGTACCTAAAATTAGGTGGAATGAATCTGAGAGATATTACAAAGGACTTCAGTTTCAGAGAATAAACATGTTAAGGCCATTGCAGACAGTAGTACTGATAAGCCAGCACTGATACCCAAGTTTAGAGTAATATGTCTAACAAGCTCTGAATGTATTTGATTTTACAGCCTTTGACTCTACCTGAAGCCAATATACTTCAGTATAAGTATCTAAATACTGTCCTGACAATTATTGTGGAGAATTAGGGGAAAGAAGACTGGATAATTCCAGTTGATGTTTTGATCTGTATTTTTTTTGCTCCCTGATGTGACTGTGTTCTGGAGGCTTCTGGGAGATGGTTTCTGCAAGGCTCGGCCCTGCAGAGGTTATGGCCTGAGCAATAACCAGGAGTGATACCTATTGACTTCTCTCCTTAAACCCACTCATTATAAAGGGAATAGTAATCCTTGGAAGTAATTGATAAAGTGTAGAAAGGAAAGCCAGTATAACTTAGTGTAGATGTAACAGTACAGCTTGCCTCAACTTTTGTTCACTTGTCTTTTTGAATTACTCTCTAGTATTGCTGCTGCAGAGTCAAACAATTACCTTTCACTCCTTAATATCAGTATTTATAGTTGGACATACGCTATTTATACTTTCTAAGTCAAAGAAGCAACATAATTTCTGCCACATTTAACACTCCCAACTGAAAAGCAGTAGTATTTATAACAGCATTTACAGTTATGGGGCAAAAAATGAAAGCATATATTACTAGGCCAATAAGATAGCTAATGTATGTCCAGAAGGACACTAAAGATAAAGTGGAGGTGATCAGAGAAATTGAAAGGTGCTCATGTAGATTTGTTTTGTGTTAGAAAAAAGAAAAGCTTCTGGAGATTGTTAGGCTTGGTGATAATGACAGATGAATTCTTGGGGAAGATGCAGTGACAGGACAGAACTAAACATGTGGAACCACACCAAGCACTGTGGAAATGCAGGTTCAGCAAAGAGATAGACAAGTGGCACACAGAGGCATATACAGGTAGCTCTACAATAATATCATGTTCTGCCAACTGTTATTTTTTGATTTTGTTTTAAGTTGTTAGAGGAAATTGTTACGAATGCTTCCTGGCTGGCACACACAGCAGTGACACAGATAATGATTATCTGATCCAGATTAGTGACAGGTTCTTAGCAGATTTCTTTTGTGTGCCTTTGTAAGAATCTTTTTTGTCAAAAATTTCCCCAGGTCAATGAAAACATGTCTTTGTTTCCTTCTCTTTCTTAATTATTGTAGATATATTGTAGGAGTCTGCTGTAAAGTCAGGATCTGTAATCCCCAAAGCTCAGGGTTGTATAGATGTGAGGAATTGGAAACTGCCTTTGGTTTCCCCTGTAAAATAAAGTTCTATTATAACAAGATGAAGGTTTGTGCTGTGTTGAACCACACAGGGCTGGGTTCACTTGCAGTGAACTTTTACACTGTGGACCTTACTATGGTATACTTGTCTACAATAAATGGTTTTGTCACAAAGGATACCCACAGCCTTTGTTCCACTTAATGATTTGAATTTACAAGGGCAGCGAGAGATATGATTGAGGACATGTACTTGATTAGTGAGGTGAAACCATCTCTTCCAGGCATTTTGAGGGATCCTGCATATGAACTTCAATTTATATAAATCTTAAACAATTTTAATAGTTTTTATAATATAAATATCATATAAGCTTAAAATGTTTATAATATTAAGATGATCAACTTAAAATTTTCATACTCAATTTAAATTTGTATTTAAACTGAGGTGGGGTACACTGTCCTGGAAACTACAGTCACTCTGTTTTTCAGGAAATTTCCTGTACTTCAGAATGAATACCTTCCTAAGGGGGAAAAATTGTATTCCTTTTCTGCAGTAAACACCAAATCAAGAGAAGACATTCATGCTGCCATTCTGCACCATGAAACTTAGACTGAGAATTGCAAAAGTTTGGATCTTCATGTGTTTTATAAGATCTTACATCTTTAAATGTTCTTAGTTCTCCTGGGACTTCTTGGCTAAAGAGAAGGAAAGCAATAACTGTTGTATTGTCTCCACACTGCATTGTCCCAACACCCATTTGTGGTGTATCAGCTACTGCAGGGGCCATTTAAAGGCTGTTCAGAACTCCAGCAGATGTTCCTTTTGCATAAGAGGAGTTTGAGGAACCATATTTCCCTTTGTGTTAGACAAAAAATATAGCGGTATTATGTTGGAGCTAGAGGAATAGAGCATCACGACTGATAACAAAACATTCTTTAATTTTATCAGAGATGAGATGCCAGAAATTCTAAAAAAGGTCATTATACAGTCTATCAAGTATTTTTGCACACATGAGAAAAAAAGAAGGTATCTCTTTTTAGCCATTATCACATGCTTTACTCACAAATATTGTCATGACCCCTTGAAATCAAGGAGGCAGTAGGTGACTGATTCTAGATATGACATTAAAGAAAATGATGATTATTGGAAAGCAGTCCATACTGAAAACTTACTCCACTCTATTGCTACCCAGTTTTTTTTTTTCTCAATGTGTATGTAGAGACACATGATTATCACTGTCTGAAAGATTTATTAATAAATGTCGACTTTCTAATGACATTCACCAGGACAGTCTTAAAATTTTGTGCTAGTTGGTTAAAATTGTCAAATACTTAGATAAATAATTGAGGTACTGCTATCATCCAATAATAATTTGCATTTATCACAGATTACTGAGGCAATGCAAGCAGTGCTACTGGCAGAAGTTCAAAGGACTGTCAATCCCTTGAGAAAGACGACAATTTGCAGAGAGTCCTTGGCCGTAGTAGAGAATGGAAATGGTAAGTTGTGGGCACTGCCAAAGACTGAGGAGTGGGATTTGTTGCAAGATTCAAATTGTGTGAACAATTTCTATTACATTTCTGTAGGCCTTGCTTGACATGACTTTAGAAGTTGTAAGCTGTAATGTTTATACTTATAGACTGTGTGAAAATATGTAATGTTTATACTTGTTAGCTGTGTGTCTAATTATAAGGTTTGAGAACATAGTATGTTTATAGCAAGAAAGCCTTGAGAAAGTACAGATAAAGGTACACCTGCAGATTTCAGAAAGTCCCTAATTATGAAGGTCTCTACATGCCAAGTATGATTTCAGGCAGAACATCAGGTCCAATGAACTGGAGACATGAGACACGTGTACAGACTGAGCTATACAATCACCTTGTTGTGAGCATGTGCCCAAAACAATCTAAACTGTATAAAAGTTGACTCAATTAAATAATAAATTGAACATATGGCTGACCACATTGGCCTGTATGCTTTATGTTCATGCCCCTCCATCGATAGGGATTTGCCATACGTTAAAAATCATCGTGGTTTAGGTTGGAAAGGACTTTAAAAATCATCCATTTCCAACCTCCTGCCATGGGCATGGGCACCTTCCACTTGACCAGGTTGCTTAAGGCCCCATCCAGCCCAGCTGTAAACACTCCCAGGGATGGGCCATCCACAGCTCCTCTGAGCAACCTGTGCCAGACCCTCACCACCCTCCCAATAAAGAATTTCTTCCTAATATTTAAGCTTCCCCTTTTTCAGTTTACAGACATTGCCTCTTGTTCTGTCACTACATGGCCTTGTAAAATGCCCCTCTCAAAAAAATTTCTTTGTCTACTTTGTTGGTATATTACTTTAAAAGAACTTCCACTAGTAATCAGAACAAGTTGGGAGTGTGAGTGTGTAATACATTATTTCTGTGTGAGACAAGCCAAATGGCCTATTTCTAACCTTATCAGGCTATGAGTTTTCTCATATGATTGTCAAGGAGTTAAAGGACTTTCACACTCTCTCATCTCCTTTGAATAGTAAAGAAGAAAAGGTAAAGTTTCTTTGATTGTATGATAGTTTTGGTATTATAAAGATATTTGCAAATAAAGGAAGCAGTGTGTTTGGAATAGAATCAATAAATCATATTGGAAAGAAGTTTTAAAAATTTATCTTTCCAGTGACATCAGACCTTACACAGTACTAAAAATTAATTGCTTAAATTTTATAACTTCATAATGTAATATAGAATATTTTATTTTTCTTTTAGAAATCACCTCCATGCAAGGAGATATCAAATGTATTTTACAATTAGATCATTTCATTTTACTAGAAGCTTATTCTTTGCAACTTTACAATGGTGCTAATGTTTATGGTAAAAAAGATTGAACTTGAATTTATGTTATGAAGTTATACTCTTTTTTTTTTTTTTTAGCCCATTAGCTGAGTCTTAAAATTAAGTGACCTAAATTTTAGATCCAATCTTATTAGTGAGCCGTCACTTGGGAAACTAATTTATTATCTCATCGAGTGTGTGTGTGTCTGTCATGAAAATTTGTTACCCATATCCTTGTTCCAGCATACTAAAAATGATCAGTGATACTTTGCTTCAGGCCACAGTACAAAGTGGTGTCTCTGTAATTTGGACTGTTGGAATACAAAACACTTTGAATAACTGTCATATATGAGTTTATACTTTGCTTACACTGAAGATTGCTTTGAATCATTTTGTTTCTATGGTTTGGGACAAGATGCATTGTAATTAAAACATCCCCAGCTGTCAAGTTCATGGATTTAATTTCCAGTTTCCTGATTTTTCAGCATGTTTATCAATGTAGTGTTTTGACATAGGTTTACAGCTAAAATGGAACCAAATGAAAGCTGCAAATGCAGATATCTACAAACTCCAGATGTGTTCAGGCCTTTGGGTTTGTTTCAAAATCTTCTGTACTAGAGGAAAAAGCATTTCTGTTGTGTAAAAGGTGCTGGAATGACTCTGCAATTCTAGAAATCAATTGCTGCTTAATTCTAATTAAGTCTTAAGGCTCAAACAGGTTATGAATTCAGAGGAGTTACTTCTGCTCTCTGAAAGGGGGGTTTGTTTGTTTGTATGTTTGGTAACAGATTTTTACTGTCATTTTGTTCTTAACCTGATTATTTGATGGCTATTCAAAAAAAAAAACCTAGAAAATTGTTTTGCTAGAATGAGCACAGTATGCATAAATATTCATACTAGCGAGGAATTTTTTTCATACTTCATGATCTGAATTACATAAATGTCTTGTAAAGCAGAGGGGACATTTTTGACATTGTTCAACATTTTACTGTAGTCTAGAAGAGGCAGAAAACATAAAGGAAGATGGGAAAAGAGATGTTGCACTATGAGAATTTAATATTATATTAGCTTTCCTTTTGTTCTCGTTTTCACTCATGTTTTACCTTGTTGCATTATTTATCACTGTGTGTAAATAGCAGAAATATTCTTCTTTTGACTTGTTTGGTTTTGTAACATGCATTGCAAAAACTCAGTAAGTTCACATGGAATTGAACAAATTTTTCTATGATTTCTAATATATGAAAGAGTAAAATTATTTGTGGCATGTAATCATATGCAGAAATTATATCTATGATAATATGCATATATATAATTATACACATTATTAAAAACCCATGCCAGAGTAAGTCCACAACCAGTGTAATTCTAAGACAAGTAATTATATCTGGGTTTAGTCATTCATCTGATAGGTATGTCACCTTTTATTTTATTAAATACTCTGTATTTATGGGTTGTACAGTAGCTGTCATTTTGTGCAATATCAAGGTAAAGGTTAAATAATGTTCCAGGTTTTTAAGTCATAATTCAAGACCAGGTTCATGCCCTCTGACCCAAAGTAAAAGTATCTGAATCTTGCCTGCCATCATCATTGCATTGTATTGCATTTTTCTTTAATTAGAATTAATAGATTTGATATGGAGATATTTAACCTTATTTAACTCCACAATTTCTGCTGAATCAATAGAAGTTCTCCTTTAAAAGAAAAACTTTCAGGATTTGACATTCAGTTTTTAAAGTTTATAGTATGTTCTAGAGTTGCTTTTTTCAGAAAGCTCCTTATTCCTTTGAAGATCCTGAATCCTTCATGGTTAAGGGTGATAGGATGTAGACAACAGCTTCTCTTGATGAATAATTTAAAATGCCTTATTTTTCTGTGGTTCCATACTGATATTTTATTTGAATTAAAAAAAAAAAAACCAACCAAAACAACCAGCCACCAAACTTATGTTTTTCCATAAACAAAGATAAGGAATTAAAAGAAATATTTATGCAAAGTATTCCAGAGAAAGGGTTAACTGTGTTGTGTCCTGGTACATTCTCCCACTGTTACTAAAAGGAAATATAAGTGCAAACAGCTGCAATTTCTTTATGTTAATGTCAGAGATAATAATGTTGGACCTGTTCCAAACATATTGATAGCAATCTTACCATTGATTTCTGCAAGATTCGCTTCAGTTCTTCAAAGAAGCTGAGGTTTTTCCCTAATTTTTTTGACATTCATCATAATTCTGAAAAAGTTTATTGGACTTAATCCCTTCTTGCTTTTTTCTACACACCGATAATCTCAGATTAGTGGCACCATTTAACAGGTTGTCAGTGTGATCTTGTTTTCTACTGTCACGTGCATCAGAGGCAGTGATTTTCAGGTCTTAAGAATTTATTTATCCACTTTTATTTGCAAAGAACCAGGAGGAGAGGAGCTGTGTTTGCTGGCATCCATTTTTCATTTTCCAATATTTGATCCTATGACAAGCATACCTAGTCCATACCCAGCCACGTGCAGAACTTCTTTGATGAGAGGAAGTGTGGTGGTCATACCACTGTCGTCATTCACTGGCCTGGTGGTTGGACACAGAGAAATTCATGATCAGTCCTTCAGCTGATTTGAACCTCTGTCTTTGTCGACAGTAATTCATTGCTCATCCTTGAGGCATTCTGCAGTGAGTCATCTGCAGAAATTGTTTCCTTTCCCATGGAAATCTCAAAATATTTGCAAGGGTAAGAACTAGAAATGAGATTCTCTCAACTTCCAGTGTGTAGGACAGGGATCTCCTTATACTGCACTGAATTCCCACATTCCCATACTGAACAGTTTCTCATGTGCCATCCTTTGATGCCTATTTCTTCTAATGCATAGGGAGCCAAAAATATCTGAAACATCATTATAGTGTATGAGTTCTTGTGGAATTGTGTGCCTCAATTTTTTGTAAAATGTGAAGAACTGGATTTATCTACTTTCTAAGCAAATTGTGGGCATAAATGTGTTTTAGAACTTAATACTCAGATATTAAATTGAGGAACTGTTGAATGTAATATTCCAGGAATACCAAAAACTGGAAAAGTGAAAGGACAACAAAGTACAGGCTTTATTCCTAAATACAGAATGTTATTTTAACTACCTCCTGTATTTGTGAAAAAATTAAATGTGAAAAATCACACCACTAAGAGTAGCTTGCAATAAATTCTGGTTTGCACTTAAAAATTCCTAGTTTAAGCAACTGCTAATGATTCAAGCTTTTAAGTATATTTGAAAGCTATTAGCTATAACCTCATCTTTTGTGTGTGGTTTTGGAGCCCTTTAAACTATTCAATTAAATAAATTGGTTCTTGCAGGAAAAAAGCTTCTGCTGATAAATACCAGAGTGAAATTAATGGTGGCAATTGAATTCCATAGGTTAGTGTAAAGAATTGTCAAAGACTTATCTAGAATATAACAATATGTTTTGTTAAAATGAGGAATCCGTTCAGTAAATGGTAAATCAATGGAAGGCAGGATGTAACAGCCCCTGTTCACTGCAGAGGTGCAATAACATGCAGTACAGGGTTTCAAACACTTCTGTTGTCTGGGTTTCAGAAATCTGTCCAGTTGCAGACAACTTTTTTTATTTCAGCTCTTAGGAAGTAATTCTTTGGCTGCCTTTCTATACGGCAAATGAAACGTCTTGCCTGCCTTCAAAGTCTGAA